CATAGAGGAAGCCAAGCTATTCACAACGTAATCGTCAGAAATAGTACCAAAAGTATATTTAAAACACATGTCATGTCGGGCAATCTCCTTTATGTTTATTGGTTTATAATCCTATTCCAGATTCCAGCAAACAGATCGTTTCCAATAATTTCACGTACTGCACGTCAGATTTGCGTATGGCAATATTCGGTAACACTACCCGAGAACACTACCTTCGTTTTTTTTTTTGGAAAAAACACACTATAAATGCAATTGAAGCAAAAACAGTCACTATAGGGGGTTTTTTTAGTCTAAGATCCCACATAAGGTCAATCTTCGCCCATCTTGCTTACCGAGTGAAATACATTTTTTTTGTAATCTACATAAAATTCTGCAATTCTTTTCCCATTTAAGAGACTTTCTATCTCTTACGGTTTACAAGATCCCCATACTAAACATCGGAAAAAACCGAAGAAAAAACTCACCCTGATGTGACAGAACTATGAATTTTAAAAATAAAGAATTAAATTTTAATTTGAGAGTAAGTACTCCAGTTGGGACACTTCATATTATTGCACAGGTTATTAGATTGTTCGACTTTGCGAATAGTGTCCTTGCGTTAAAGGATTAGAGTAAGTTTAACGTTGAAAGCTTGGTGTTAGGTAAGGAAGTAGTTTTGGTTGCTTTTCGTTATCCCAATACATTTTAGGTTCTTTCAATATTAAATTTATCACAAAAAAGAGCAGTTTATTGCGTCATCTAATTAGGAATCCACAAGAAGCCTCGCAAGAAGTATATTAACATCTGGCGCCCAACGTGGGGCAGTAGAGACTGAAGTAAAGACCGATAACAACTAAGGTAAAGAAAAGAAATGCCGATGGATCGTTCACCCGTTAATCAAGAGGCGTCGAGCGAATATTATTTGCGAAGTAAAGTTCGACAGGGTGCTATACCAAAACAATATGATACGGCTACAGGTAACACCGAGTCAAGAGGTCAACACCAAGGTCAACACCAACGACGAGTTACAGTAGAGGAGACCAGAATAACTTATCATCAGTTCCAGTCAATAAGCCGGAAGTTCCTGTATGGGGTAGTGAAAAATCCGCTATAGAAATGTCAATTCCACAATTTTTTCAAAATTTCGTAGCGGGACGGCGGCAGAGTAAAGAAACGGACGAGGCGGCGCGGTTGGCTGCGGCAATAATTCAAGATCGGATGGAAGAAGCCAACAACAAAAAGTACCAAGGGGCTGTTGATGACAATGATGAGTGTTGGGGGCGAGAAAAATGTGTGTGCAGATGGACGGGGTCCGGATAGGATAGAAGAAGACCAAAAGGCAAGGACGAAAATCAAAGGTTCATCACATAATCAGTTGCGAGATAAACAAAAATATGGCAACAGTAATGTAGAAAACAACAGTTTAAATTATAGTTTATTTATTACATGTAACAATGTAGATGAAAGGGCAGTAACAAATATTGTTTTGCAGGTTATCGAAAAGTTGCAGCAGGGTGGTCAATTATCTAATAGGTACCAGGTTATCTAACCACGACAATTACACAGGTTTTCAAGGATGTAGTCCAAATCAGAATTTGATAAATGTTGATACAACTAATCGCGATGTTTTGGAAGACAATATTCATAAGTTTAACAAACTAAATATAAATAAGCGAATACCTGTATTTGATAATAAGGGTACTGTACACCCATTGGAATTTATGGCCCAACTGGAGTACTTACTCTCAAATTCAAATTTAATTCTTTATTTTTTAAATTCATAGTTCGGTCACACTGTATATGTTTTTCGGCCACCAGTGGCTACAATTTCTTTTAACGCACCAAACTATGTCTCTATATAGAACCGAATGTCTACAATATACATTTTACCTTAAGCTACACCTTGATTCACAGAATTTTGAAAAAACACAAAAAACGTGTAAACTCCCATACCAAATTATAGCAATTTAGCCCCAATATGGCGACCGGAACCAACGACCAATCAAAAAAGAGATACCCGATTGTTACCACTGTTCTAAATTGAGTCACTGTAAAACGCGGGTCGCCTGTACCCTTGTAACCTGAGGCTGGAGACAAAAGTCGTCAGCATTCCATGAATGTGTTGAATGCGTTGTTTCTGTTTTTGCATTTTTTAAATTAAAGATTTTTAATTTAAAAACTTTGGGTAGATGACCGAACCGAAAGGTTCACAGGTCGACCAAACAATTGTTGCGTTAAGTTATATGTGCATAACTGAATTTATTGCTAACTATAAACAAAACAATGAAAAAAAGCACGAAGGTCACTTGCTTGCAAAATGTGATAAGAGAGATGAAATTTGGTGAGATGGTAGAGCATGGTTTTCTAAAGATACACCCAAATTTGCCACCTCTAAATCCCGCCGCACGAGAGTTGGGGGGTGAAAAACCATACATCGCCTCATGGTTTGGGGTATATAACACCCAATGCCTTCCGAGATATTACACTCCAAACCGTGGGGTTATTTGTAAGCTTCCGAAAAAATTAAAATTCCATGGCGTAAAACTCACAGATGATCTACCTAATTGTGATATACAATTGTATATTGAACCAAAACAAACATTTTTAGAAGGGGAGCCATTCGCCCCTTCTGCCAAGGGAAGGTAAGCCGCCCCTAAAGGTACATTTTTTTAGTTTTTGGCATTTTACAGGAAAACAACACACTTTCACAAAAAAGGCGGACTTATAACTTTTTGTGTAGAGCAAAAATTCTCTCGATTAGATTAGATATATACAGTGCGAGATACAGTGTGTAAAGCGATGGGGTATACAAGAGGGAATTTTTTTTAAATATTGATTTATGAAAAAAATTTATTCTTCATGATATTTTTTGCTTGCCTTGAAAGTACCAATAACGTTTCGATTGTTTGTGGTTTGATAGCAATACGCTATCTTGATTATATATAATGTTGAATAACTTGCAATAAAAAAAATTAATTTTATTATTTTTGCAGATTTCTATAAATAAATTTTAGATTAACTTTTGTTCTATGGCCACAACATAAAAATATCAAAGTTGATTACCATTTTACATTTGACAAAAAACTCCTTTGAGGATGATTTGATTTCACCAAATCACTAAATAATTTACTCAAAAATATGTTCAGGCAAAAGGGAACTTACAACAATTTTTGACCAAGAAATATGCAAAAAGAAGATATGATAATATAGCTCTTAAAGATATTTAAAAAAATCGCGGCGAACATTTGATAACTTCGCAAAAAACAATTATTAGTCGGTTTTTCACGAATTTTCGAAGGATATGTAGAAGAAAAAAAACTATAGCCTGCAAAAATCCTTTCAAAAGCAGAACGTAGAAAAGGAAAACTAAATTTTTTTGTAACACCGTCTAATGTCCGATCACATATCTCCGAAATCCAGCATGATATCAAATTTTGAGTAATAAACAAATTTATTCATTTTTTAATGGCCAACATTTTTGATAATAAGACAAAACATGCTAGGACCACACCTTGCCGAAATAAAGTCGATTTACGCAAACATTTATAATTTTTGTGTATGACCGGTATGACGTCATTGTGCCGCTAAGTGCAGGTCATGATAGACTGTCGCCCAAGTTTTTCGTAAAGCTTGACCCATATGGCTGTGGATGGAGAGAGGTGAATTTCCGTACGTGTAACTTTGTGTAGAACTATACCAGCAACTCGATTATATAGAATAAAACGTTCATTAACAATACTATACTAGTTATCCTTTGATTACAGACTGACCGACTCTAACCGGCCTATCGACTACTTTACGATTTACGATTACTATGGAATAAATGGAAATTAAGGTTTGGCTATTTATACACTTCTCGGGCTGTGCTGTTGGAATTGTGCCCGCTTAATAAGAATTGATTGAAAATATTTTAGCGTATTATAATGTTGCGCAAGCGCAGACATTTTTTCTGCAAGAGATTTAGTTTCGTAATTTCGTTGATTTGTTTTAAAACTTAAAATTTACGTAGTAATGTAAAAAATTAATCCCTATACCCTCGCGTATACCTTAGTTTGTCAAATTCAATGATTTCAAAAATGCGCTGGTAACTCGGCTGGTAATGGGCGATTCTCGGGGCGATTTCATGATTCTAGATATTTACAATTTCGTGAATATCCATACCTTGACCCCTACTAACTTTAGTATAGGCACAGATAAAATATTTTATCTGTGGTATAGGGTTGTTCTAAGTTTCCAGTGTTCACTGCGCAGGGAAAGGTGGGAGTTACTGTTTTCGCATTGTAAGAAAAGACATAGAATTGCTGAACACCATGTATAAATTTTACCAAAAGCATCAACGATAGTAAGTGGTCTCTCTCGTTTGCATTTCTCCTCGCATTTCTCAATCCTTATTATATGGAAATGTACACGCGCGAAAAATTGGGAAAAGTTCTGAATTCGTTCGTTAAAGACTTGCTTTACCTGGAGTGAGAGATAAATTGCCTGAAGCTACAAACTGTCGCCCCGTTGCCTACTTTAAATATTATTTAAGAAAAAAGGGCGAAAGGCGTCAGTCACCATTGATTTCATTGCAATCACACCGTGAGAATGAAAAAATGTCGTCTCTTGAAAAATAAGACACGTTCTCTTGGCGCCAAAACGTTGCAAAAAAATATTATAACGTTTTCAATTTCACGCTTCTCACACATTTGCAAAGCACAACATTTCCGTAATCTGTCCGCTTTTTGTTTTGCGAAAAGCAGGTAATTATCTCAAAGACAAAAAAGGATTGGCCTTTCGGTAGAAGAAAACAATTTTATTTGTAGAATTCTAGAACAAATAATGCACCCTTCATAAAATCCTCACAGCGCTGAACGATTTTAAGATCTTTTTCAAACATCCCTAAACTCAGGTCAAACCCCTAACGTAAAACGGTTAACTGTTCATACAATCGTAAAATTTGCTTACAACTGTACCATAAAGCGTTTCGCCACAAGAAATGCTTCGAAAGGAAAAATTGGATAGTAAAACAAATTAGGTACCTTTGGATTGGATCGAATTAGAATCCCGCCAATCTTGTGCTCGTTTAGAGTAATGATCGTGAGACGCACATGTCTGCATCCGGCACCAGACCGTCTAAAGCGGCGCGCCATCACTTAAAATAATATTTAATAAATAGATCCATTAATCCCGTCAATCACATATGCACACACACACCCTACACGAACACCTTATTACAAACGTTATAAACAAATTGAATAGTTTAATTCGCAAATGTTAACGTCGCACCACCGCCGCCGTCGCACAATACCGACCGAAATGAAATGAACGATGTCGGTCGCATCGCAAAAACTTCCTGCTTGTCAGTTTATGCGTACGAGATTGAATCGTCTGGTCCATATTGCGTCTCTCTCGTACCCGGATTAAGCGCAGATTTGACGTTTCCCTTCATTCTAAATGCCTACTGTATGCGTCTTCCCCCTCTCTCTTTCCGGGACATTATTAACCGATAATATCCAGCATTTGTGTGAAGAGGTATGCGTATGGACTATGAAGTTATTTCTGCTGCCGGTTGCGCTGACCGACGCCTTTTCCAAAATCGTGTACGCGTCTCGCTCTTCCTTTTATGGTGTCAAATTTAATTAGAGTAAGTTTTTGCGTGTATCAGCAAACCCTTTCGTCCGATGCTGTTATTAATTTGAATGGCCGTTGTAAATCGATGTGTTGATTTAGGAACCATGTTACAGTATGTTGCAAAAACTGTTGTCTGTCATTGTTGAGGTGGTTCTATATTCAGAAGATAGAAGAATAGGGTGATTTACAAGGACCAGACCTTTTATGCAAATGTCAACTATAGATAGTTGCGCATCTACAGAAATTATTTTTGATGTACAGGGTGTCCCATTTTTACGTTGTCAATGGACAACTGATTTTTTTTAATGAAACACCCTGTATATTTTTAGTAGTTTCGATTTCTTTTTTTAACCTCTGCATGGACACCAATTCACTATTTCGTTTTTTGTCAATGTTGCCAAATTATAAATATTTCTTCCGAATAATTCAGTAAGCCACCCCATTTGATAAATGCAGGGATAAATCGTAGCGACCTTGTTTTAAAGTTAAGAAATACATTTGATCAACAATGTGAATCTGAATAAAAGGCAACACTTTGGTAATGAGAAAGTTGAATTTAGTGATACAGGGTGTTCACAAAAAAGTCGTGAATTTTCCATATTTCAAAGTGCCATTTTAAATGAAACTACCACTATTTTATTTCTCTATTCGATAGTCTCTTCAATTTTTATAAGGGGTGTCCTTTGCCAAAACCCCGTATTTTTTAGGATATTCAATATTTTTCACAAAAATAGTTACACATTAATTAATACCATGTTTATAAGCAGCAGTAGGCCGTGATAATAAACAAGTTGTAAATCAGCATATGCATGATTAAAGCGCATTTTTTGGTAATGCAGGTCAGTATTTTATTAGCGAAGTTTAAAATTATCGATCTCACGAGTAATTTTGGCTGCGTTAAATAATTAATTTTATTTCATTTCAATTGACGGTACGTCTTCATTTTGTAAAACAAATCACAAAGTAAATAATAAGTTTTTATACTGGTAGCGCTATCTAACGGTAAAATTATAGCACCTCCGAAACCCATATCGAAATTATTTTCTTCAATTATCGATCTTACAAGTAATCTAACTCAAAATAGACTAGTGCCTGCACATCTACACTATAGCAGGAAGCTTTTAGTGAAAATTTGAAGTCTCTAGCTATTGTAGTTATGGAGATCTAACGCGGACAGCCGGCCTGCCAGCAATAACGAATATAATAGCGTATTTTTTTCAAAAATGCGCTAAAAACCAAAGAATGCCAGACAGTAAGTAAACAAGTACCATAAATTCATGATTTGCTGCAAGTGTACTCCTTATTTCGTAATAAAATGAAGTTATTTAAAAAGACTATAAGCTATTCATTTTAAGAAGGTAGCGGTAGAAAGCATAGGGACAGTTTGACCTTCACTGTGATTGGTTAAAACACGAGTCAGTATTACCCTGAAAAATAAAACGAGTGACGAATTCTGTCTGTTAGAAGTTTCAATTACGAACTATACTGTCGAACTGTCATTAGCTGTCAATTTTAAAGATCCAAGCGTGATATCGTTTAATTTATATTTATAGTTTTCAAATTTTGTGCCGTTTTATATTTTTCCTGTGTGTATCGATCTTTAAACACAGCGCCATCTACTACCTTCTTATAATGAATGCAGTATAGATCATATTTTTCAAAATTCGCCTTTTTAATTAATCTTATTTTACTACGAAATAGGGAGTACACTTGTAGCAGATAATTTATTTGTGACACTTGGTAACTTTCTGGCATTCTTTTGTTTTTTATTATCACGGTCTACACCGGTTTATAAACATGTAATTGATTAACTATTACCTATTTTTGTGAAAAATATTGAATAACCTAAAAACTACGGGGTTTAGGCACAGGACACTCCTTATAAAAATTGAAGAGTACACAAAAGACTATCGAGTCTTCTTCTTGTTGGAGTCCACAATCCTACGATTGGTTGGGCGCAGTCCTCCACCCTTTCCCATCCTGCGCTAATCTTTTCACTCTTACATAACTACCCTTGCCTACGTCCCTAACTATTTGGTTTATGTATCTAAGCCTCTGTCGTCCTACCTTCTATAGCTAGCTGTACTATACTAATCCTCCTTGCCTGAGCACGTGTCCTATATTTCTATCTCGTCTTATCTGTACGGTTTTCCACATTATAGAGAAACACTATATGTACCTACGATTTTAGCAGCATTTTCTTAGGTCCTATATTTATCCCGGGTCCTGCTTTTGTTCAAATGCTTTTTGCCAGAGCTATCTTGGATTTTCTATCTTCCTTGCTATGATTATCTTGTGTAACCTTACTACCTAAATAGCAAAATTCCTTTACATGCTTTAAAGTGTCGTTTCCTATTCGGAACATTAATAAAGGATTGACATTATGCAAGATTTTTGCGCATTTTTCATAATAATTATATACCCAACTTTTATGTTAAGTTGGTAGAGCAAAATCTTTAGTTATTCACCAATTTCATCAGAGAAACTGCAAAACACCCATGGGGGTTAAATTTTGTGCACTTCCTGATGTCATATTCTAATTTTGGTTAAGTTAGTAGAACAAAATCTTTATTTATTCAATAATGTCGCTGCCGAAACTGCGGGGTGCATTGTCCTGATGCATAATAACTGACTTTTGTTGGGAACGCAAAAGCGCTACCGCAATACGTAAAAAAAAATGGGCTGTTGTCCGCACATGTTAACTGTTTAATTTGTGATGTTTCATGTTATTTCAATCGAGGTTGACAGGGGAGACAAGAATTAAATATTTTGAAATAAATCCGCGACCACAAGACTCAATTTGGAAACTTGTCAGTTGTCACCTCGTAAGTGATGAGCATATAAAGTACCTATTTAAAAGTATCGCTGCTGTTTTAAAGTTTTATGAGCTGAAATGTGTACGATCAAGTAAACAACATTACCGTCTCGTAAGGTAAATTGCAGTTGTATAACTTTAAATGGATTTGTCAGAAAAGTTGTTAACAATTTACAAGTTCTTGAATCTTTTTACTTTCCACCTTATGTATTTTTAATAAATGCATAAAGTGGGGAAAGTTTAATGGTACGGTTTTACGAAAATGTTTTTTTTTAAACAGCCTTGGAATCTTGATTTAGTAGTGCACAGTGAGGCAAAGAAACTTTGTTAACTTGGCAATTGTGAGTTTGTAGCAGATATTATTACGGTACACAAGGGGAAAATAGTGGCGGTTGATTAAACAAAATTAGCTTTACATTTACATACGCGTACACGTATTCTGTACACGCGGGAATTAATATGTAATCAATTGAAAACCACGTTTGTCTTTTATTAGTAGTGCAAACAATTTCGAATGCCATATTCCACACTTTTTAATTTATTACTGAATTGTACACAAATATGTAATTAGATTATATACAAATTGTATAATTATGAAATACAAACTATTCACAGAAACAATATTAGGCTAGGCAACATATTTGTAGGCGAAATAATTCTTGGAAAGCTGGAAATCGTTTTAATCTTTTTATTTGCATGTAAACAGAGTGTTTTAAAGTTTGCACCGATGTTCTGGTTGTGCTGATGGAGGGGTGGCTGAAAGACCTCGAAATTAGTGGCCTTTTTCAGTTTTTTATTAATAACTCGTAAATGATACTTTTTTTCGAAAAGTTTACTCTTTTCAAAATTGAAGAAATTAAAATTCTGGGTAGAAGGAATACCCATAATTGAAATTGCGTCATGTTGTTAAGAAGATATGCACGATCAAAGGACGATGACATATTCTATTTTTTAAAACTATGTATATTGTTTTGAAATTTTAATCTTTTAGTTATACATACCGTGTACCACATCTAATATACGAACACTGGTATATTTAATGTGAATCCACTAACACCGATTTCCTGTGTTTCAACAATCCTAGGTTTAGGCCGGTAGGGACTTTCCTTTTCCAGACTTCATCAGAAACGACTGATCGCTATTAGGAGCTAGCGCAGTAAAAATTACTAAGAGATCTATAGTTCTCCTACCACAATCACAAATTCGGTGTGTGCAGCATGTTCTATAGCCTTTTTGACAATGGTTGTGTCGGCATTTCCTGCAGCTTGCTCGACAGCGATGTTTTTATCTGCAAATTTCTGTATCAACATTGAGATAATTCGTTTTTTTTCTTCCTTCATTCGAGAGGAATTTATCTTTTGACATTGTCAGTACTTAACATGGTTTCGCCAAATTCAACTTTCGCTGCAATAACCTTGTTTCTTCTGAAGCGTTCTGTTTTTTGAACATGCATATCGTCCATACCATTTTCAATTTCAAATATGTGGGACTTATTTGACGTAGAATTCTACGCACTTTAATTTATGAAAGAATAAATATAGAGCACAAGTAGGAAATTGGTGCAAACGTCAAAAAACTCTTTTTTGATCCAAATAAAATGATTATAACCATTTCCAGCTTTCCGAGAATTATTTCGCCAGCACGCCCTTTTTGGTTTATGTTTCTTGGCCTAATATTGTTTCAATTTTGTTATAAATCAGCTAAAAATGTCGCCCTTAAAAATGGCACGTTGTGTGTGTCATACTTTTAATTAGCTTATGGTTTTCAGAAACGACACTTAAACTTCATCTCGCGACCAGTTTACTTTTATCAAACCTTTATTAACGAACGACCCGGATCGTTAATAATTTTTCACTTTCAGTCCGTCCGTCCGTCCGTCTCTGTACAGTACAATGATAACTCGCGATTCGCGAACTGTTTCGAATTTTCCAATTCTGTTTTTAGTAATAGATAGACA